CACACCACCCCCCACACCACATATACACATACCACACAATATACAAAACTCAAAATTTATTTTTGAGTTATTATGCAATCACCTCTATAGACAGTACGCAAACACAAATCATGACAAAAACTACCCAACTGAGTTAGCAGTTTATCAGCATCTCCTTACCTGGCCTCCATATACACTTTGCTGAAGGTGCAACTCCACAGTACAGTCCTTCGTGCCACTTTCCAAAGAGGCGATGCACAACCTTTCCTTCTTGGTCCATGATAACTCCTTGGACTTCATTTGCATTTGAATTCCAGTAATTTAACTGAAATGTAACAAAGCAAAGGATTACAGATCGATTTCCTCATCACATTTTATCACATTAATTTTAAAATGCAGTTATTCTAAATATTACTGTATGTGGATATTCAGAGAGTACATCTCCAAGAGACAAAAATTAAAGTTTTTTTTTCCTTCAAAGCTGAAATATGAATGAGGATGTAACATATTTGAATTTTTCTTTCCAAAATTATCAACAAACCTATAAAGAATCGTCTAGAAACCTGGTAGAGGTCTATAAAGTTTAAAGTATAAATTTGAAGGGCAGGGACTTTTCATGGTAGGTCCTTGTAGAGCACAAGTCATGATTACTGGCACTTATATTAAAATGTACTTCAAATATGTCCTAGTTGCACTGGAACACAGGAAAGAAAATGGTTTTCTGTGACACTACAGTTCTGCATGCCTTGATCTCTAAAACTAAGGAAAACAAAAAGCTCTCTCAAACTTTTTAGCTGGTGGAGTGCAATGAAAAATATTTAAATTTACATTATTTTCTATACAGAAAAAATGCACATATAAAATTAAAATGCATACGTATTTGCAAATATTACTGAAGAGATTCCAGATTTTGCATCAAATCTGTCATTTCTCAGTTTACTGTCAATCTACATAAATGTTGAAAACTTAAAATATGAATACTGAGTACTTTGGCAGAAGTATGTTATTACATGGCTTTCATGAGAACTGTTATCTGCTTTGCTGTAAAAAAGTTTGATTATCCTCATTAAACTGTCTGCATATATAAGCACCAGATAGCCTCTTTGCCAGGTGGCTTCCTGCATCTTTTTGGCATCCAAACACCCCATGAAAACTGAAGGATGAGCTTCAAGTGTTTTTTCTCTTCCTATATGCCTGACTTTCTGATTAATTCCAGTTGATAGTATGGAGGAACTCTTGTGCCAAGTCCAGTAAACTACACATGGAAGGTGGAGTACTTCCATCCATAATACCCTGCATTTGCTTTTCTTGATCCTCTTCACAAACATTTCTATTCTTTACACCTTTATTTCTGGGCCAACTATCTAATTCATGAAGCAAGCATTAATGAGTCACTGCTACCTTTGAAATGGGCCTTTTGCACTTGCGTCTCTTTATACCACTGAAAATATATCCTTTATTTCCATTATTTTTAGGAGAAAATTCAGCTTTAAAAAAAATCAATCTAGAGTTATATTTTCATATATGCCTATCATCAAGACATCTGTATACAATAAAACAAAGCACCACTGTTTTATGAGATAAGATAATCAGAGAAATTCTAATCCTGTTTAGACTAGCTTGACACCAGATTAACAACAATGAAGTCCACAGAGTTGTTCCTGATATTCATGTTATTAAATAGCAGAATATGGCCACTCATAACATTTAAAATAAAAAAGAGGGATAGGTAGGTGGATGGAAAGACAGACAAACATTTTACTGTTGTATCACAGAAAGTTACCTTGACAAATGTGAGTTTACAAATACAAATACTGCTTTTTGTGTTTCTGATAGTTATTTCTCCATAATGTTCTATCCATCTCCTTCCACTAAGGATGTTATGTATGCAGGTTGTGACTTTGTTCCATGCATAGTGATCTCCATACCTGAGGATAAAGTTATGAAGTAAATGGAAATGAAAATTAAGTTGCAACATTACTGACAAAGTGAAATTCAGCCATATTATCATATAAAAAATATCCCTCAAAACTGTTTGAAACAACAGTAAGTTGCTCACTCTAATTAAAGCTTCCATTTTAATTATGACTATTATTTCCTAATGCTAACCCTGAATCAGTTCATATGGGTGACATTCACCCGCAGTGCAGCGATCCAGTGAGCCATGAATGCCTGGCACTGTGTGAATTCTCAAAATGTTGGCCACTTTGTCCCGAATCAATTACTTCAATAGGATTTACTAAAACGTTATACTGTACTGGTGCTATAGTTACAATATATTGCTCTCAGATGCAATGGGAGCAAATATAAGAAAAATGAATCATAAATGGAAAAAGAAAGTGGACAACAATAAATTAGTGGCATATTGCTCCCAACAGCATTAATAGGAGCACCACTTGCAAGTTAACAGATGCTATTCTTCTGCTCTATTTAGCCCTGGTGAGACCTTACCTAAAAGTACTTTGCCCTGTTTGAACACTGCACTTTATGAAGGACAAATTAGAATAAGTCCAGCAAAAAGCAACAAACATGAATAGAGGTTTGAGAAACATGATTTTTAAGGAAAGGCTGGGACTATTTAGTTGGGAGAAGAAGAGAAGACTGAGGGGGTGATTTGATAACAGTCTTCAAATATCCCAGTGATGCTTATAAAGATGATGATGATAGATTATTTTGTTTGTCCAGAGGCAAGGGTGGATCCAGGATTTCCTAGAGGGGTTGCAGGAGCAGCAACCCATGTTGCAGGGGTGGCTGCATCCCCTGCTCCCAGTTTCCTTCACTCCCCAAAGTGCAAGCAGACTGCTCAGAGGAAGCCTCTGGGGACTTTTAAAAATCCCTAAAGCACGTAAAAATCCTTCCTCCCTTCCCCTTTCAGCTCAGAGGCACACTCCCCTCCTCTTCCCTCACTTCCCCTGACTCCCACTGCTGTCTTCTCCATTGTTTTGGGGGCAAGAAGCTCCAGAGACAGTAGGGTTGAGCCAGGGGCTGGCTCAGCTGGGAAGGGGACAACAGAAACAGGGTGGTGGGAGAGTACTTGGCCTGACACCCTCCCAGGCCACCCTGTCCATCCCTACTGCCATTGTCCCCAACCCCAGCTCAATGAAGGTAGGAACAGCTCTGGTGCTCCCCCACCCTTGGGAGAGCAGAAAAAGGCAGTGGAGGGAGGAAATGGAGGGTGCAGAGGGCTAGTGAGAGGGGATGTCTTTGGGCAGGAAGGGGAAGGGAGAGGATTTTCACCTGCTTTTGGGACTTCAAAAAGTCCCTGGAGGCTTCTACGGTGTAGTGCAATCCAAAAGGGGGGATACAGCTGTGCCACAGCACCCACTCTGGATCCACCCCTGCTCACAAGGGCCAGAACAAGGTGCAATGGTCTAAACTGTGGTAAAAGGATGGATATTAGGAAGAACTTTCCACTATGAGGGTGGTTAAGTATTAGAACTGGCTCCCCAGAGAGGTTGTGGAATCTCCATCCTTGGTAGTTTTTAAAATCAGGTTAGACAAACACTTGGCTGCAATGATTTAATCATGGATGATCCTGACTTGAGCAGAAGCGATGGACCAGATCACTGAGGACCACCCTTTTTGGCAGGTGTGTCACAAATTAAGGCCTGTATTTGCCTCATATGCCACCCCAAATTAGACAGCTTCCAGAGGTCCCTTCCAGTTCTACTTCAGCGTGATTTTAACTCTTATAACATGGGAGATTTGAGCAGGCAGTTAATATCTTGCCTGTTACTATGTTTCTGAGATCTGTACACTTAATTACAAACCATTCAGAAGGAAGCAGTATAACCCAACATTAAAAATGAAGTCAAAGAATAGAAAGCACAGTACACAAACAAAGGAAACAAGACAGTAGCTTACTTTGGAAGAGTCACATTCAGTGCTCCAACTGGAAGAATTTCCATCGATTTCCCCCAGAACTTATTTTTCCATCTGATATCTAAATGAGAGTGAAAACTTTACAAAATTACAAAAAAACCCAAACTTTATTTGCACTGATTTATGGTATATCAGATCGATCTATGCTAGACCTGAACGGAACAGTAGCCTGATCAGGAGAAAAGGGTTATACCAGATGAAAATCAGTCCTCCAACCAGTCAGAGAAGCTAATACAGTCCTCCAACCAGTCAGAGAAACTAATACAGAAAAGCTAATACAGGTCTTAAAGTTTTTGCACAAATAACACTGGCAATTATCATAATGCATCAGCTCATTTTAACACAAAGTGAAACACTTCAATACAGCAGTCAGCACCAACATAACATTAAAAAAACCCAACACATTTAAAGTCCCAGATGGAAAACACACTAACATTTTTAGATGATAATTTTTATTTACATAAAATTGGATCTTTGTCCTTTGAATTACAATATTTACCTTGCCAAAACACAAAATTCTTTGATTCACAGTGACAGGCAGAAATGGGTGGATGGTGGCTAACCTGAAAAAAAAAATAATGGAAGTGAAGAGTGGTTTAACACATACACAAAAAAGCTTTAGAATCAATACAACTACTATTTATGTAAAAGTTAAAACTAGAGGTACACCGATAGAGATGTTTTGGGCTGATATTGACAGCTGATTTTTTAAAGAGGCTTATCAGCCGATACTGATCTGATTTCCAATACCCAGCGCGGCAGTTTGCAGAGCAGCATCCAGCTGGTATGTCTGTTGTGATGAAAGGGGAGGAGGGAGGGAAGAGGTGTAGAGGGGGGCAGATTGAGTCCCCTGCGGTGAGGGAGGGAGTAGGGCTGGGGCAGACACTGCCCAGCCAGGGTGAGGCAGGGCATGGGAAAAAGCTGTGGCTCATACAGGTGGTGTGGGGAGAGGGGGGAAGCTCCTGCTGCTTCATGGGCCAGTGCTGGGAGGGGAGCTACGGGAGGGGCTGCAGCCACTCCAAAATTCACCATAACCCCCACAACCTCCCCTCCCAATGCTGCCGCCCACCTTGCCCTGAGCACAGCCTGGCCCAGACCCTGCTTCGGCCCCAGCCCACAGCAGCAGCCTGTCCCACCCCAGCCCCACACAGATCTGGGGGCACATGCTCCCCATACCCTCCATGGGTGCGCACAGCTGCAGGAGCAGATCCCACCCCCAATGCCACCCAGACAAGCTGTGGCTCTGTCCCACATCCCGTCCCACTCTGGCTGGGCAGTGCCTGCCCCAGCCCCAGCCCCACTCCCTCCCTCACCGCAGGGGCCTCAATCTGCCCCCTTTATATCCCTTCCCTCTGCCCTCCCCTTCCACAACAACAGATTTAGCAGCTGGACACAGCTCTCCAAGCTGCCAGGCTCTGCTCCTTGACACCTATGTGCTGTGGCTGCAGCTGTGCGCATGCACAGGGCGTTTACTGGCCAATTTCTGATACAACTTTCTTTATACAAGTGCTGATCCGATATCGGACCAATGCATCGGTGCACCTCTAGTAAAGAGTGTTCAATAGTGTATATTGTTAGAAGAAACAACTAAACAAAGAACCTCAACATGATATTCTGACACTTTAAAGGAGATGGTTTATATGAATCCCTTTTGCTATACACACACACACGTATATATATTACACACACATATGTATACATGTACTGGCATTCAATAAATTTTTCAGTAGCAAACTTTCACTAAAAATAAGGTCACTTTTGTAAAGAAATCAAAATCTATTTCTAAACTTTCTTTAGCAGTTACTTAGAAATAGATATTACCTGCTCTGAAAAAAATCGAAATCCTTTATCTTCTCTAATACATTCATAAGTCTCACCAAGCACTGGATTAAATGGCTTGCTTCCTGCTCTGAAGTAAGTGGAGGCATATCCGGAAGCTGCAAAGGCAGCTATAAGAACCTGTTAAAGAAAACAAAGAAGAGAAAATAATTGAAGATCCTTTAAGGTGTTCTCCCACATTGTTTAGGCATCAATGTGAATAATTTTTCCATTTAAAAGTACTTAATTTCCCTCTCATTTGTAAACAGTTTGTTTACTGTATGTATTTTACTTGTTTACATGTTTGTATTTTAACAGTTATATATTGATAGAAAGCTGTCAATGTACCTAAAAGTAATGGAGGGGAAAAAAAAGCCTGCAGCTTTCTATTTTCATGGTTTCTGGGCACTATACAAAATGCGAAACAATACAAAAGAATCAGGCTTCTTTCCTTAGCACTTGTTTAATAGCAGAAATTATGTTAGCTGACCTCTTCTGTACCAGTACTGTGACTTTTTGGTCAGCACTTACAAAAAGACTCATCTGAAAGTATTCAAGGCAACGTTTTGCTTGTATAATATTATGATAGTTTAATTGCAGATATCGCACTAGACAGCAGAATAAATTGCATCTGTTATCTTCTTTTTAAGCTGTATAACAATGACAACTGCTTTATCCAAATATCCATTTTGAACTCGCCCAAGCCTGGATGAAGAATTGTTTTTTAGCATGCAGACCTCCTGTGTCAAGCAGGGACATTAGAAGATCCAATGCCAGGTTAATCAAAAACTTCACAGCTATAGCCTTGTCTGCCAGAAAGCCATCAATAGTATTACTCTCTCCTTCCTAGTTTCTGTATGTTCTTGAGAAGTGGTGACTGCAGTAGGAAGGCACAGAGCACAGATACTGCTTGTGTGCAATCGGGTTGGAGTATTGCTGTAGACATGATGGTCCAGGATATGTATTCTTTTGTTTTTTGTGATATCTTTCGTTTGGACCAACTGTATAGTTGGGGGAGAGAGAGCAGGACTTTGGGAACCATAATGTCATCAGTACCCAGATGATTTATCTGAAGTCTCCTGGCTTTCTAATCCTTGGAGAGAGAGTCTCACCAAAGTCCTGTGTGGGATTCCACATGATAGTCCTGGGAAGAATAAGTGAAAATCTGAGCCCTCGCATATGTGAAGTTGTGCTGTACTAAACTCCTTACCATGCGTTCGTAGGGGTCATCTGTTTCAGCAGCCTTGTCCAAGAGTTCACTGTATTCTAGTTCTTCACAAAGATGTTGCAAAGTATTGAGAGGTTCATTGAGCTCAACTGGCATGGACACTTTGGAGAGATCTTTACCAATATTATTTCTTAAAATATTCCACAGATTGATGTTACTGGTATCAGGACTGGGAGCTGGAAGACAAGTCCGTCGTCCATTCCTGAAGGCGCCTCCTGTCAGCTCACCATTGAGAACTGGAGGGAAAGTATATTACTGCATTGAAATAGCCTTTTGAAAATAGTAAAATTCATTCATGGGACCAAAGTCACCACTGATGTAAGCAGATGCAATCTCACTATTATCAGCTGAGCTGTGTTTGCTTACACCTTCGGTAAATTTGGTTCATGATATGAAACAACATCAATTATTAGTCTTTTAAAAATATGGTGCTTACTTTGTCGGGATATGTTGTCAGTGACACTGGTATTGTCCTCAGATATGTTATCACTCACATCACTGATGTAAGATTCATCATCAGAAGCCTAAGGAAGAAAATAAATAAAAAATATCAAGTGTATGGTAAACACACGTAAGTTAGGCAAGAATATAATTAGAAAAACAAACGTTCAAAGAAAGTATCTCCAGCTTGGCAGATTTTAAACTAGATCTACCACCTGTATTTCAGTTTGCACATACAAAGAAACCAGCTCTAATAGCATAAAAAGAAGTATTATATTCACTTTATTTTCCTGAATTCCAAATAACAGAGACAAAAACCATTCAACCTCATTTTACCTAATACTCCAAATTAGATTCCCTCTTTACCCTCAGTTGGTCTGAGTCAAATCCCATCAAAGTTTCTCCCAGAGAGCAGATGGAGAGAAGAAATCCATGGCAGATGTTAGCCATGTTACTTAATGAATTACTATTGGAGCAAAAAATGCTGAAGTGATGAGTAATTTAAGAATGTATAAAAGATAAGAGAATAAAAGCTCATTAACTTCAGTGGGATTCAGTTCAAGCCAACCAGGCGAAGAGAGAGAAAACACCAATACACTTCATTTACACTTGTGTATGTGCCTCTCTCTCAGACTTCTACAACTTTCTCTTATGGTATGGACAACCATACCCTTTAATCACTTTGAAAATGGAAAGAAGCCACTCAGGAGCATGCAAGAAACTCCGAGGTGCATGATACAAGCTGGGTAAATCACTGTAACTTTAAACCTGAACCAAACCAAGTTAAAGCTGTAACAATTTTGTTACATTTGTAACTCTATAGAATCATGAAGATGTAACAGTTACATCATAACAGCTTACATCCCTGCCATTTTTCATGTCTGTTTATACCCTTATCTGAATCTCTGATTAGAGATAGAACTTTTGATACACAGCTACAAGGTCTGGAATTTGCTTTCCCTGTTAAACCATCACAGCCCAAATGTGTTGACTTAAAGAGCAGAGAACAACTTATTCACTCCATTTTTTTTTTTTTTTTTTTTTTTTACCTGAAATCATCAATCTTATGGAATGAAATGTGTTTTGGGAGCTTTGTTTTCATTTAATCTGACATTAGAACAAAGTGTATTGTTTTCAAATGTAGCATGCAGTTACTAAGAGTTTTGTACCGTGGTAGATTCTGTGCACAAAAAAATGAACACAAAAGAATTACTTCTGTCTTTTTAAATACCTATTGTTAACAACATGTGGATGATCACAGGAACTTTAAAATCAACACTTTAATCCAATTCGTAAATTATTTGATCCAAGATTTTTTTCTTTCATTTTAAGTCACCAAAGTCGCTGTTTCAGGGCTACCGTGCTTCCTTCATACACTTGTGCAATTAGAAACTTTTATATCTTCACTGAATCAATAAAGAAACACTAGTCCTTTTAGCAGGAAAGAGGTGCAAAGAGGTGATGTTAGATTAATATATATGTAATGTCTTCTGTTTTAACACCGGAACAGAACTCGCCTGATTTTATACTAGTGAGCTTTACTTTCCGACTCTCATGAACATGCACAATACTGTGCAGTTTGCACTGCAAACACAACAGGAGAATGTTAATGTTTTGAAAAAGGAGATGTAAGACTCAGTTCTGCAGGGTTGCTCTGTAAGAAGACCTGCAAGAGCAAGAGCTGTAGCTACTGCAAGGAAGGTGTTTTAATCTGTTTTAAATTGATTCAAATTATTAATTTTGGGTTTAAGGTAGCAGCTATGGAAGAATCCACCTCAAGGAATTTGCCTGAAAAAAGGACTTGATAGAAAAGGATATTGATGCTCTTCATCAATGTGAATGCAAACTGTAGTCATAAGTGTTGAGGAGGTCACTAACATGTTATTTAGAAAGTTAAGTGTTTCAATTACAAGTTCTGCAAGAGCATTTATAGAAGGGTGTAATTAGCAACACATGATTATTCAAGAAGACAGCAGAAAAATTAGGGAAACTGGATAGCACAAACAACAGAAACACATAATACGTTCCACATGTCACTTATACAAGAGGTAGTGAATTCTGCAGTGCAAACCCACATAATTCAATGTCAAAGCCCTGTTCAGGCAAATGAAAAAACTGGAGTTGGAGATTGTAGCATTATTCTTAACTGTACTTAACTGCTTAAATTTGGATCAGCTCGAATGAGTGCCCAGGTCAGATATTTCCCCCAAATGACTTATCATCATAAATCAATGGATCTTTTCCTTAAGATTCAATTTTCTAATAAGGACATACAACAAAATGTACTGTACTACTACACAATGATTCAAACTTTCCATGGTGCTCTCCATGAATTTCTCTGCCACAGATAGAAACATTTCCTAATTAGGTTGAAAATGTAATTTGGCAGTTGTAGTTTTCTGCTACTTGGTCTCAGAAGATTGCCAACTAGAAGGACATGACCCATTACAATGACCTACCTCATTTTCTGAAGAGCTTGCTGATATAAGTACTTCTTGTGCATCAAAGAATTCAGAGACAGATTCAGACATAGAGAGCCTGCTCTCATTAGAAACTTGTTGGTTCAATGGGAGACTAACATGGATTTGTTCACCGGTCTGTAAACAAAATAAACACCGGGATATAAGATGTTATTTCTAGTTGAACAGAACTATAAATCAGAAAGAAACAGTTTAGAAAAAAATACCAAAAAGACCTTTTACTTGGGCCAACATTTCCCTAGATACTCGAGTACAGTTAACAAAAGAGACTGGGACTATTACACAATTAAATACAATCTGAATAATTACACAGCTGTAAAAATATGTTCCTTCATTTGAACCATATTCAGCAGTAGTTATATGCAAGCTTCAGCAATGTAAATACTCATGAATCTGGATACTGCATCCAAAGAGACACCCTTTGTACAACTCTGTTATGCAGTTCCAAACCAATCTCAACCATGAACTCCAGATAAAGAGATTTCTGGGAAGGAGAAATCTTTTACAATATATAATTTTTCTCAGTACTGAAACTAGCTTTGATACACATACCAAAACAAAAAACCCTTATAAAATTGGGTAGTTATTTTTAATTATTATTCTCAATGCCAGGCCTCATTTCTGTAGTGATAATCACTTGATGTGCAATTATGATCAGAAGAGTGAGTACGGAAGTTTCTTATTCCATGTGCTTATTCCCTGGGTATGCTTCAAATCTTATTCATAATTGATGCCAAAACTGGAGCCAGCAGAGCTAAAGGGAAGGAGTTAGTTATGACTTCAATCAAAACAATTGTATAATAAGGGACAGACTATTATCCATCGTCAGAAAACCCATGATAGATGTAAAAACTATTCAAGATGTATGCCTTAAATCACTTCATACTGGGCAAGGAGAGTGTAAGGTGTTGCTTCACTATGGCATGAATAAGAAGTCCTGTCCCAGACTCTTTGGAGACCTATTAAGATACATGTGGCCAACATGGTCTCTGAAGAAGATTCCCCATGCTGTGTAACTACCCAACCCCTACTCCCCAACCCTCTGGCACTAGGAGTCCTTTGAAGCCATGCTGCCAAGGCTTCCTTTACAACCAGTTGCCATCAAACTTCCTCTTAAAGGAACTTTTCCCAGGCTGGAAAGACTACAGATTCTCCCATGCACAAACTACAGAAGTGCATATATGGTGTCCAGGACAAAAGCTTGCAGATTTGGGCCTACAAGCTGACTCCAAATTAAAATTCATGACTTATAGCATTTGATGGCTTATAACCACAGAAAAAGCTAGTTTTAGTGATGTTTTATTAGCAAGTCATTAAAGTTTTAAGTTTCTTAATAAGCTAGAATGTTTTGGTTCTAATTAGTACAAAATAACAGAGCCTAAGACAGGTACTAAAAATATCAAAATAAATGAAACATTAAATATTTATTTCTGTTCCCGAGTCAACTTGATTAAAAAAATACTCTAGAGTGTATTTCCAGATGGGTAGCCTACCTTCTGCGGACACAAATGTCACCTGCTCAATGAATTGCTGAAACAAGTCTGAATAGTTGGGAGTAAAGCCGCTAACATTTCTGTATATTGTTATGGTTGCTGTTTTAGGGGGCTTTTTTTGCAGAAACAATTGAGTGTACACAGAGTATGGATTATATTATAGCATAATCAGGAGGATTCATATTCGGAGCCTTAAACTTTTACAATTCAGTGTAAGCAGGCCCCAGCTTACAAACTCCGTAGAATCAGATGATCAGATGCTTTTATACCAAAGCATGCAGAAATAACTAAATAATGTCAATGATAACCAACAAAATAAAATAATCGGAGAAAAAGTCTCTGTTAAATTTTCACTCCAGACTATTATGCTTTGAAACTGCTGCACATGGCATCTCCAGATTTCCACCATGCTGAACTCCTGTAAAATTCCATTTTTCCAAAAACAAACAAGAAAAATTAAGAACATTTCCTCCCTTTTTAATTCTTGGGAAAAAATTAGGAGGCAAATTGCATGTTAATTGAAATAGCTGACGCATTAAAAAAAACACGGTTCTGAATGGAAATGACCAATACAAAACATGGTGAAATACACACACCAGTAGCAGTGATGGAGAGTGACAACGTAAATTTATAACATATATCTACCTACATTCAAATCTTCTCTTCTTGTAAGCCAAGGTGAATTGTCATTGATATAAATGCTCTTTGTTGACTGAGGACAGGGAACCAGGAAGGATCAAATCTTGCAAAGGCTTAATACCACTATGATGCTTACTTTGGCTAGGGACTGACATTCAAGAAGCCGGAGCCTGAATTGATTCAGTCTTTGAAGGTTACGCTAACCCACCTAGACTGAACCAGGTTGCAACTGTAGAGACATTCCCTCTGGACCGAGGAAATGCAGGCACATGCCTGCAGCCACTCAGGCCAGGAGCTGGGGGACACTAGAGCAGCCCTCAGCTGCAGGGAAGCTACGATGGGGGGGCATGGCCAGGCCCGGCAGTAGCCTGAAGTGAACAGGTCAGGGAGGGGGTTGAATTAATACATGTCCCATGGACTCGAGCTAGGGTCCACCAGGCACTCCCCACCCTCACTGCTGCAGTGGCAGGGGCACAGCCAGATGCTGGCCGGCATGGCATGCTGAGGCAGAGGGGGCAGGGAGGGGGGTAATTCCCCCTCTGCCCCCGGTGGACTGCAGTGGGTTCTGCCCAGTCTGATGGCCACTCACTCCCTGCATGGGACAAGTGGCAAGATAAGCCCCCTCCTGCCCACTCTGCCAGATGCCGGAGGGAGGGAGGAATAACTCCTCTCCCTGCCCCACTGCCTAAGGGGCCATGCCAGCTGGACTCTGGTCGCACCCGCACCCTGCCACTGGAGCTGCAAGTAAGGAGTGACCCTGGCCCCTGCCATGGTGTCTGGGGAGCACGAGCCTCTTCTTGGTGGGAGGGCCACAAGCTGGGGTCAGAGCTGCTGCAGACTGTGCTCGGAGGGGACCATAGCCCCCCAAAACCCGCCAGCACTGCTACTCCCCTCCGCATAGTCTGCAGCAGCTTTCATTGCCTTGAAGTTACGGCACCCTGCTGGGAAGAGGCTTGCGCTCTGGGACTCCATGACAGGGACTGCTCCCCCTGTCACTGCTCCACTGGCAGGGCAGAGCAGGGCAGGGGCAGAGCCTGGCCGGCACAAACCCTTGGGCGGGGAGAGCAGGCAGGGAGTGGGGTTCCCTCCTGCATCTGGCAGAGGGGGCAGGAGAGAGCTTATCCTGCTATTTGCCTGATGCATGGAGCGAGCAGCAGGAGTCGGGGCAGGCAGGCCTCAATGTGGTTTCCCAGGAGCAGAGGGGGGAAAAACCCAGCTCCCTGCCCTCTCCCCCCGCCTATGGGGCCATGCCAACCAGCCACTGGAGTGCCCTGCCCCTGCCCTGCCATTGGAGTGGTGAGGGGGGAGCAACCATGATGGGGGCATTAGTCCCTGTCATGTTGTCCTGCATGCAAGCCTCTTCCCGGGGGGGGGCGCATGCTGTGATGTGGGGAAAGCTGCTGTGGACTATGTGGGGGGAGTGGCAGGGCAGCAGCACTAGGGCAATTTGGCGTGCTATGGCCCCCTCCAAGCCCTGTTGCCACCACTCACCCCTCACAGTCCGTGGCAGCTCAGACCCCCACTTGTGGTGCCCCCCACCAGGAAGAGGCTCATGCTCCCCCAGACACCATGGAAGGGGCTGCTCCCCTGTCAGGGCCCTGCCCCCTTGCCACTGCAGTGGTAGGGCAGGGGTGCGACCAGAACCTGGTCAGCATGGCCCCTTAGGCGAGGGGGAGGGGTTATTTCTTCCTTCAGCGTCTGGCGGAGGCAGCAGGAGCGGGCTCATCCCACCGCTTGCCCCAGGCAGGGAGCGAGCAGCAGTGGCAGTTGGGGCAGACAGACCCCGCTGTGGTCTCCTAGGGGCATAAGGAAGAATAACCCTCCTCCCTACCTCCCCACCCCCCAGGGTCCACGCTGGCCGGCATCTGGCCATGGCCCTGTGGCTGCAGCAGTGAATGGGGAGTGCCAGGGGGACCTCAGTTTGGGTCCATGGGACAGGGATGGGGGAATTAAACCCCCACCCTGGCCAGTTCACTCCAGACTACTGTCAGGGTTGGCCACACCCCCACTGCTGGAGCAGCCAGCGGAGAAATGCAGGTCCGTGCTGGTGAGACAGGGGAGGGAGGGGGGAAATGAACCTCTTCCCTGCTCCCTTCCAGAGCCAGGGTCTGGCCAGGCCCCCACCCCTGCCTGTCCCTGCTATGACTGGGGAGCAGAGGGGCGGGACCAGCCCTGCTCCGCTGGAGCAGAGAGCAGAGCCCAGAGAGCATGCTGGGGGCTCTGGCTGAGCTTAATCAGTTAAGTCTGATACTACATTCAAGCAGGTTTATCTCAAACCAGTTTCAGCCATTCTGAAACTCATTTATGTGCACTGAAATTATATTCTGTTACAGGTTTAAGCCAGTATCTGATCACTTAAATCGGTTTGTGTGTAATGTCTGTCCCTAGCCTTCATAAAATGATCCTCCTGACTTCAATGTGACCACTCAGTAGTGAGCAACAGGCCCTATAAGCCCTCATACACTAAACTGTTTCTACCGCTTCTGCAAGAAACCAAGATACAGTAGTTTTCAGCTACTTGTCTGGTTATATACGAATACAATAGAACCTCACTAATTCCCACTTCAATAATCCACTCACCCAATAATTCATATTTAAAATCTGTGGTCTTTTCCGGTTTCTCTGCAGAGATTCAAGAGCAGAGCTCTCCAGTGAGATCTAACATTGGTAAAGCTTCACTGACCTCACTAGTGATACTATAGAATCTATACTCCATACTTTTCATGTAGTCATGTGCTTTTTACTTACTTGTCTATTTTCAAGATTTAATAATTTGCAAAAGGTCTCTCAGTTATTAGTGAGAATTAGCAAGGTTTGATTGTACTCTAAATCCATTAAAGGCCAAAATCTTACCTCATCAGGACTAGGGATAATATTTACACTGACAACCTGATCACAAATAACAGACTCTGAATGTATTCTGTTCAAGCGACTCCTTAGTTCAGCATTCTGGTTGAGAGCCTTAAAATAAAAATTGGACATTTAATTTCAAATTAAAAAGCAAGCATAAAACAAAGCAAGCACAAAGCGTCTGAGCTATATATTTTCCACAGGTTGCCTAATGAATTACAGTATCTCCTTAGCTGTATTTTTATAAAACGATCCATTTGTAGATCGTTCAAACCATTCAAACCATATCCAAGTTTTTACTTTGTTTTTCTTTCTTTCTTTGAACCATGATTCTTTTTTCATAATAAAACAGTAATATTCTGCCCTTTCTAACATTTGCCTAGCTCAAAGCATTTGATAGAAATGTCAGTAGACTATGCACATTTTGGAAAAAGGAAGTGAATGCAGTATGGAAGAATGAAACTAAATCATACTACTACAACGAAATCTCCAAATGCCAAAAGAGGTAATGCTTATATTGCAGCTGAGGCACGTACTGAACTACCACTCTGAAGAGTCAGCCAAAGGGAACAGCTAACTCTCAAGCAAAAAGACAGAAGTGTTGTGTTGTGATAACATTTGTAATTTGTGCACAGCAAGTCACAGTTGCAAAACACACACAGAAGAACACAAGGTAAGCAAAGTCCTTTACTGAAATATGTATAGACAGATTCTTAATCCACGGGGAATACAATCTAAATAGACAGTGAGCATGTCTACACAATATAATATGTAGCTATAGTGATGAGCTATGGCGATATAGCTTGTTACTATGGTGACATAGAGGTAGTGGGCACAAATCATGAGACAGCATCTAAAAATAACCATGTGCTGTCAGGACTGCACAGTACCAGTGGGTACTAAATCAAGTAGTAAATGACTGTGCAGTATCAAATGTGCAGTCAGAGGCATGTATAGATGTGCCCAGTAAGTAGACAAAAGGTGCGTCCAGATGAGCGCAGTTGTGCAGTATGTGGTGCTGCAAACATGTCTGCAGTGCCACATACCGCACAGTATGGTGTTCTGCAAGGGCGCACTGTTTAAGCATAGGCTGCTCCTGTTTTTTTTCCTGTGGAAAAAAAGACCAGAGCAGCACATGCTTGGGCAGCATGAGCTGCTGAAAAGCAGAGCCAAGCTGCCCAGAGCTGTGCTATGGCTGCCAGCCAGGCTCCATCCAGCAGGACTGCTAGAGGGAGGCCCCCAGGACCCCAGGTAAGGCTCCTGGGGCTAACACAGTGCTGGTCTCAGCCTCCCCTACTGCTCCCAGGGTAACTTGTGCACATGGCACGGGCATTCCCCAGGGACAAGTAGCGTCAGTGCAACATGAACTGCCGCTACTTGTCCTCAGGGAACTAAGCGTCCATGCATGTCTGGACGCATCCAAAGAGTGCATACAAGCATTACATTTAGATTGCCCTAACCAAGCTTAGGGTGATCCTAAATGCCTCAGTATGCAAGCATTCATGGGGCTTAGGTCACCCAAAAAATGAAGTGCCGTATTTAAAGTTGATTCCTGTCAGATTAGAGCTAACTTTAGATCAGTGTGGGTTACCCTGAGCTAAAATGGGTTAACCTGACATAATGAATGTGTGCACACATCCCCAGCAAAACCCAGGGGCTGGGAAAGAGCAGCCACTCTCCACAGCCTTGGGGCCACACTTATTTCACTACTCCCCATCTCCCCCAAGGACCCTGACCAGACTATTTTCCCCTCTGATTGGGCACCCCTGCCCAGATATGACTGTACCCCTCCTCAAACCCACCAGCACTCCCCCTCCCACTTGCCTCCAGCTGCCTGTGTGCCACTCCCTATGTCCAGAACAGTACAGATGTGTTAGCACCGCACTGTCTGACTCAATAATTTAACTGCATAGACATGTTCCTGGTATATGAATCTGAGCTGCTCTCTAGTGTCCCAAACAGAGGTCGATTTTTTCAGTAAGCACAATTTTTTCAAAAAAGGTTCAATGGAATTTGAGTGATGCAACATTAGTACTAGTTGTATATGATTTGTTGCCATTGTTGTTTTCTATTTCCAACATTTTGTTACGCTGTAACTAAACAAAACAAAAGGAATACAGATATGTATATTTTAAAGGATCAAATGAATGATGGACTGTATTTTCTACAAGTTCCTACAACTGTGTTTTCCTTATGATGAGAATTCCCAGGATCTCTTAACTAAAGCATATTAGCTCCTGATAATTAGCGCGTGTCAAGTCTCTTGTGAACTGTGTGATATATGCTTTTAATTTTAACAGTGTTCCACTGAACAATATTTGATATTTTAACATGGAGATCCATTTATCTCACAGTTTGCAATGAATGCAGATTTACCAAAACATACTCCTTGTCCTGGACTTTGTACAACAGCAGCCGTTCTATAATATTACACCTCTTTGCACATTTTTGTCTCTTACAATGTCCCTTGTTTATGGCCTCTCCAATTCCCTAACTCTTAAAACACTAGTAAACAATCTCCATTTGTGCCCGTCTTATTGCACATTCAGCAAAAAACAACCACAAAACCCCACATTTAGACATCTCTACCAGCTCATTTATTTCAATAATTATTTTAAAATTACTCACCTTATTACAAATAGCCCTATTCCAGCCTTCCTCAAATAACTTCTCTCGTTGCTACTCTCCCATTCTATTTCCTTGTCTAGAACTGGCTTCATCTCAGTTTCTACGGTACAGCATAGTCTGCTTGTATCCATGTCTCAATTACTGTTTCTCATTTCAAATATCAGATAAAAAATATATATATATTTCCTCTACTACATGTACTTCTTGATTTCTTTCCAAGCAGGCTACACTTTTTTATTCCAGTTTTGTCTCCCCACACTTATCAAAATTGACTACTCAGATATGCATCAAAACAAGTTACAATCATTCTTCTGAAACACCACTGTGGCCAACAAGAAAGATAAACTTTCAACTTGACTGTGGCCATGTCCGTCTCTGACACTATTCGATGATGACTGCTATTTTCTTCCTAACAGTCAACAGACAACAAGAATCTCTTTCTGCACTGAAGTCAATAGGAATAGCACTGGAGTTAGCAATGTTAAGAACAATTCTCCTCGTTAAAAAAAACAAAACAAAACAAAACAGTGTATTTTAACTTAATTTGCAGCTCTTTTAAAATCACCAGCCAACTTTCAAGACTTTCAATTAAGATAAATTATGTCCACTTTCCAAAGAAAATGCACTTCTCTGATCACTAGCCTTTTACCCTCACTCTTTTGGTTTTTACTTTCACACTAGACCAGAGATTCTAAAAATCTTATGGGACAGCTCCCCTCCACCAGTACCTAAGTTTCTTTTCACTGATCTAGCCAGAACCCTCCTTCCTATTTAGCAATATAAGATCAGAGCTGCTATGACTCCCAGGCTAAGAACCCAGCCTTGTTCTCCTCTACATGTGTGTTTCAGGGCTCGTAACTACTCCGCTATAGGACAGTACTTATCACAGACAGTACAATCCTACAGAAGAGTGCATTAATTTATTGTGTCCTTATATGGGCACATGTGTAAATAGTGACACTTTACTGTTGAGCTAATTTGTCAGCTCCAAGGTAAAATGCACATGTAGATGCACCCAATATGAAGGAATTCTTTTATAGAACAGATTGTTGTTTAATACCTGGAAATTATCATTTAAAAAAGCTATATAAATTCCCTGTGGCTTGCAATTTAGCATATAACAGCACTTTAAAAAATATTCATTGTCCAGGTTTCAAAGCAATGAAGAATTTTTCGGCATGCTGTGTCTGTCTGTTTTAGAAATGTGTTTTGTTGCCCTCCATGATAGTATCAGAGAACTCTGCATATTAATTACATTGCCAACAGACAAGCCTCTAGTGGATTTCAAGGTGTCTTTGTCTCTTCTTTCTTTTCAGGGGACAGAAAAACTTTGCTTTGACTTTTTCAATGTAAGTGGGGGGTTTTTATGTATGGGTTTTCTGGAGCAAGGAGCAGGGAAGTGGGGGACAGCAGAGCCAGAAAAGGAAAGGGAACAAGGCTTGTTCTGAATTCTGGTCATAGTGAAAAAACCGTGGTGGGCTTTCACTCTACCAATAGTGAGAACAACTGCCCTGACCGCCTGCATGACAAAAATGGAAGTACAAACAATACCTGAAATGGAGCTAGAAACAGAAAATCACTGACACTGTTACATTAAGGGGAAACACAAGACAAATATACACACTCTCAGGATGCAAGGGGGTATATTCTCCAAGTAAACAGCATTAACATTAACAAGTGCATCCATATACCCTATTCAGACCAAACTGATATATTTGGACTGTGTTCACTCTTATTCAAAGAATACACTAATGCCAATGGAATTCAATTGACACCTAATATTTGTTATCGTTTTTTAAGAATTAACCAAACCTAGTTTATATGGGTGCATACATATATATATATATTGCACGTTCTATAAAAAGAGATATACACAAAAGGGTTGAACTCAGGGTTACAGTATGTTGTGCACTGTTGTCTCTTTTCCCACAACATGAATTGCCAGTTACTTGAGAGATGACCTGTATATATATGTAAGAGATCACCACTAGGACTTGGAATCTAATTTCATTTCCATGTTCTCTCCACGAGCACCAGCAACAAGTTTACTCCTTTATGACTATGACTTTTAGATAGATGTCTATATTCTTTAAACTAAAATTACAGGCCATCAATCCATTTCACATTTTAAAAAAACCTTTTAAAAGTTGCAATTGGTTTGAGTTAGACATAGATCAGTGATCTAGATAAGCAGCACTTTCTCTACCTTCTCTTGTCTTCTTATCTTTATTTAGAACAATTACTTGGTTATAGTTAGGAAATCATATGTAAATTTAGGTAGATTATTTGTTTTTAAATTTACACATTCTTAAAAACAAACAAACAAAAAATGAACAGATCTAATGCTCCCTGACAGTCCATTTTCCTTCAGACCAGTGGAAACAGCCAGAAAAGTCCTTCAAGGACTATCCAAACTATCATTAGGGCTCTCTGACCATGAATTCAAAGTGTGGGATTATTTTGCAACCTGAGAAACTATGTCAGAAGGAACTTGCTTTCCTATCCCTGCATTACAAAACTTAACCTGCTTTTAGAATGGTATCTTTGTTCAAGTGTAATGCCTAATAACCTGAGAAGAATTCAAGGTAAGATTTGTAATCAGTATTGGCCAAACTGTTGTCTTCTACTGAAGCCAATGTAAAGTTCCCTTTAATAGGAATAGAAGTTGGCCAACATAGTGTGTTTTTTCAAGAATACTACCTTTAAGTTATACATGCAATAGGTGGTAAAACTCAAACAATTACACTTTTTAATATGTGTTTATGGAAGGGCTTGAACTGCAGAAAGTCTAATCTCTGCATTTTAAAATATGTTGTCAATGATAATTTTTGCAGTTCAAATCATGAGTAACAGAGTAACAAGTTAATGGTATTCTCATCAGTTTTAAATTAATTTAGGAAAAATGAAAAATATCTTTGAATAGGCTGAACATGTCTTTAATAGTTTCTAATATTTATCTTGTTCTTATATAAAACCTCATACTTTAGCTTTATATAGACAAATGCAATGGAAGTACAGAGGAAAGTAAACTTCAGCTTTTGCGTCTACATTTTTCTTTGCACACATTCAGGTTATTTCTGCACGCTAACGTATTGTCAACAGAAGGCGTTTCAAAACAGGGAAGCAGGTTAAGCCTTTAGCCGTATGGCTAAATTCAGAACGACATCCACTATATTTTACTGGATAAGTATAATGAAAAAAATAATTGGCTGCAACATTTGGAATTTTTCCTACCATCTCTGGAAGTGGCAAAACCTTAACAAAGATAAAGGCATTTGGCAGGTCACAGAACACAACATACATTTGAAATAAAAGCAAGAGCATACCTGAGAAAGCGACTGTCGGAGATGTGCTATTTGTGCATTGTGGCCGGTAACATCCTGTTCTGAAACAATCTGCTTAAGCTTCTCCTTCTCTATAGCTATGCTGTTAAAGGCAGACTTCAAAAGAGAATGCACTGGGGAAAAGAAAAAAAAATATTTACTGAGATAGTGTTGCACATTACATGCAATATTTCAGTAATGGAAATTATGAGGCGGTACTAAGGAGCTGGCAGAGAAAGGGGTCAACCTTACCCAGAAGCTGGGAGAAAAGAGCCCCCCAATTAATTAGCAGAACCTTTCATCCCATGATTATATAAAAAAGAAACTGAGGCCCAAAGTCTGCCAAAATGAATGTAAACTGGTTGTGGTTGGCATGCATATAACATGCATAAACACACTATTGTGGCTAGTATGTATGCATGTTGGGTGCATGCAAAAATGTACATTTTGGAAATGTTTTCTTTGTAAATGAATTAGTTTGTTTCTTAATTCTCCTACTGAAACAGAGCAATAAGTATCCCAGTACCATAATTATTTAATACTGTATTAAAAAAGGAGTATTACTTTGATCTTGAAATAGAACCTTTGATGATCTGACATTTGGAAGAGAGGGCATGGGTGGTATGTTTGCTCCTCTTGTATGCAGTACAGAACACACGTGACTGGAGTTGTGTAAAACTGCTGGCAGCATGGTTACTAGGCCTGTGTGAAGCAGCTAGTATTCGCTTCGGATTTGGCCTATTCGGGGTACAGTGATTTGATTTGGTGATTCGAATCACTGTCCCGATTCATTTTGGCTGAATCTGATTTGGAGATTCGGCTGCTGCCAAATCTCCGAATCAGCCAGGCCAGGCCCATCCCCCGCCTGCTCTCTCAGCTGGCAATGGCTGCTACTCCAGCCCCAGCTTGTGTTAAAAAAAAAAAA